AGTGTTGCGTGTGAGTGTTGTTTGTGAGTGTTGTTTGTGAGTGTTGTGTGTGAGTGTTGTTTGTGAGTGTTGTTTGTGAGTGTTGTTTGTGAGTGTTGTGTGTGAGTGTTGTGTGTGAGTGTTGTGTGTGAGTGTTGTTTGTGAGTGTTGTGTGTGAGTGTTGTTTGTGAGTGTTGTTTGTGAGTGTTGTTTGTGAGTGTTGTGTGTGAGTGTTGTGTGTGAGTGTTGTGTGTGAGTGTTGTTTGTGAGTGTTGTTTGTGAGTGTTGTTTGTGAGTGTGTGTGAGTGTTGTTTGTGAGTGTTGCTTGTGAGTGTTGCTTGTGAGTGTTGTTTGTGAGTGTTGTGTGTGAGTGTTGTGTGTGAGTGTTGTTTGTGAGTGTTGTTTGTGAGTGTTGTTTGTGAGTGTTGTGTGTGAGTGTCTACGTTTCTGAGCAATGCATCCATATCTGTCACTTTGCAGCCGACTTTCCTCTTCAGGCAGAAACGGTTTTGTCGCTTCTTGTTGTCAAAATGCGTTCAACAAAAGCGCTCCATTCCGTTTCAAGTTAATCTCGCCATTCCGTAATTTTGTTACTGAAGCACGGTTAATAATTTGCTACAAGTATATATATACGAATGTGAACATTCTGCTGTGCTTTTTTCAGTTGTGTTTCCCCCAGCTCAGACTCCGAGGCTTCTTGATTCATCGCTCTAACAACAAACAATTAAACATTTATTTATTAGCTCGCAGTTGAAATAACGAATCTACAATTAAGAGGAGGAAGGAGAAATAAAAATAAAAATAAATTACTTTTAATATTCCCGACGATTCTCATACTGATAATTGTTGTTTTACCCTTCTATCTGGCAACAAAACTGACACCCCTTTTACAAAGAGTCATGTTTACATAGACCAGTCAGTTTTGTTGCCAGATACTGGCAAATGAGGTTCCAATGGTGATTCTCATACTGTCTGGGACACTTTTCCGAAACGTCATCTTCGCACGTGGCTGTTAGTCACGTCACAATTCACCTGGAGGCCCAACTTGGCGGCCTTCCTTCGCGAAGTTCCTCCACCCCCCCCCACCCCACCTGCCCTTCCCCGCATGTTGCCACGTGGAGCTCAAGGTGGGGGGGGGGGGGGTAGGTGGCCAGGTGGCACCTCCAGGAGGGCCGGAGTGGCGCAGAGACCACGTGGCGAGGCCCTTGGCGAGGCGATCGTGAGAAGAGCGCCAGTACACAAAGCGTGCGCCGGGATCGCGTGGTGGTGCGCCAACAGGAAATGTCGCTCACCGCAGGCACGCTTGGGAACTTCATTACCGATGACTTTGCAGCAGGTTTGGCTGCTCCGATTATTGATACCCCCCCCCCCCACCGCCTGCCCCCCCACCAACGACGTTTCGACTTTTTGTCCTCGGGTGTAGTCGCGGTTGCCGAGCACAGGCCCAACAACAAAAACTCTCAAAGAGGCCAGCGACAGACGGCACCCTTGAAGGTGCAGCAGACACACAGCGTTATTGCGTTCATTGAGATGTGAACGATCGTTACAAGAGCTTTGGGAAAGAGAGGGATGGCAGTGGAATTCCATAGGAAGGAAGCAGAAAAGCCCAGTGTTTGACGGTGGTTGCATTTGGTCGTTGTGCTATTTTTATGGGGACAGGACTACGCGAAGCCCCTGTGTGTGTGTTGTTGTGTATATGAGTTTTATGCAAATGTAATCATGGCATTTAATAAGGCAGGGCATTGGGGTGGAAGAGACCCAGGGCCTGTTATTCGTGGCCGGTGTTCGCAAATTAAACTCGGGTCATCGGGATTCATCACACGGTCCACCAACCGCCATGCCACCTCTCACCTGCAAGCGCATATTAGCGTTAAATGTACATTTATGAATAAAGAAAATCCATTCAGGTGCTTTCATATGTTAATGTATGAGTAACGGTAAGCAAATCAAAGACAAAGATCTTCTCCCCCCGTGTAGCCTTTAACAGAATGTTGGGGGCAAATGCTGTGAGCGAGCACCTATGAAGGCCGACGCAGCACACGTGGGGGTGGGTGGCCAGCACCACGCCCGGCCGCCTTTGTCTCCCCAGTGCTGATGTTTTACACACCGCACGAGGTGTGTACTATTACTGGTAGGAACCTCCTGGTTACACCAGCCCACAGGGGATTATTGTGTCCGTCTGTTCCGTTGTGCAGGGAGGGGCTGGGTGGGGAGGGAGGGGCTGGGTGTGGAGGGGAGGGTGGGGAGGGGCTGGGTGGGGAGGGTGGGAAGGGGCTGGGTGGGGAGGGTGGGGCTGAGTGGGGAGCGGCTGGTCACCCCGTGGTGCCTACTCACGCCGGCTTGTGCCCGCCCTCACAGTCGGGCATATTTGCGGAATACACCACGCCGCCGTTGACCCTGGCCATTGACTGAGCAACCCAACGTTCCTACCAGCTCCCTCCGCAGGAATGTGTTTAAGGTCGAGTTGATTCAATTGGTCGTGAGCAGAAATTGAATACGGGGTCGCCCGGGGTTTGTAGCGCAGATCAGTAAGCAAGGACATATGAAGTGACGTGTGTGTGATTGTATGTGATGAATGATATAGAACACATTCATTATTATACATAACACAACCATTGTTTTTGTGTTCTGAACGTGATGTAGAAGCAGCGCTCGCATTCGTACTGATATCACAGCGAACGGAAAGTGAAGCGTGAGTCTCAAACGAGAGGCAAAAAAATGCGTCGGAAGCACGCGGTCGTCTGTGCATTACATCTCCGATTAGCAGGGTTGACTACGTCCGGCGCGAAAGAAGTTCTACATACATACAAAAACCATCATCATTGCCGAGAAGAAGTGCATTGTGATACTTTTGTGACTGACTGACGGTAACAGAATGAGTATGGTCACCAATGTCCACTGCTGCAAAGTCTGTGTCTTGAATCCATGTCAGCAACAGAATCAGAACATTTATTGATACTGGAGGAATCCGATGAGCTATAGAGCTCTTTCTCACAGATGTCCAGTCGGGGCGGGTCGGAACATTATGTATGTGGAGAGTGAACCCCACGCGATCGTAACATTCCATCGGCAGGTAATTCCTGCACGGGCAATTGAAGGGTCCCCCCCCCGCCCCCCTCTATCAGCGTCCTCACAATAACCACATCGCTCACACCTGGGGCTTAGGAATTTAAACTGTCACATTTGATCTCGTTCTGGTATTATTCTCATCCTCGCATGGTCCTAGCGGATGTGTGTGTGCGTGCGTGTGTGCGCGTGTGTGTGTGCGTGCGTGTGTGCGCGCGTGTGTGTGCGCGCACATTTGTGTTAAAGGGGGGGCTACGGACCCGCCGACCCGAGTTCGATTCCCGCTCGCGGCCAACACCAGTGATGATTATCTGGTACGGTGTGTAAATATCGCCACTGGGGAGACAAAGGCGGCCGGGCGTGGTGCTGGCCACCCACGCTCTCGTGTGCCGTGCCGGCCTTCATAGGTGCTCGCTAACAGCACTTGCCCCTACAGTCTGTTACAGGCTACACGGGGGGACTACGAACCCGCCGACCCGAGTTCAATTCCCCACTCGTGGCCACCGACGCCGGTGACGATTTATCTGAGCCTGTCCTGCTTCGGACAATAATTAAATAACACCCGGCGCAGTGTGTAAACATCCGCAGCTGGAGAGACAAAGGCGGCATTGTGTTGGCCGGCCCATGCAGGCTTCAGGAGGTGCTCGCCGAAGGCACGAATCTCCCCCCCCCACCCCCCGAGGTGTCACCGTTGTGTTTGCGGGCGTCCTCAATTTTTTTTGGCGGCGCGTGCGCGCGCTGTGCTTTTTGTTTGCGCGAGATATTCCCGCACGGGTAACGATTCGGTGTCACGTTTGATTGTTGTAATCGGCGCGATATTAAACCGGTGAGCCCTGGCGTAAGATGTTCTTTTGGCAAAAAAAAATAAACGAGATGGTTTCAGTGGCTGGGAAAATTGCTGACTTAATATTAACAAGGAAAGCAATTTCGACGTACAAAAAAACACGCGGTATTAGTATCGTTTGTAGGGGGGCAGCGGCCGTTGTGGGGGGGGGGGGGGGCTGGCTGGGGAGGGGGCTGGGTGAGAGGAAACGTGAGCAGTCGCAGTTTATTTACTTTACGTGCAATATTTTCCCCCTGCCATTGCATTTTTTTTTTGCCGCATTAAAACAGCCGATCGCACCACCCCCCCCCCCCAAAGGTCACACATGCTCTGAATTGCTGAACGCGGTAGAGAGTGGAATGATACTCAATTGAAACGTCTCGCACTGTCTGCCAATGCTGTCCCTCTTTTTAATGTGGTTGAAAGAGTTGACAGATTAGCTCTGTCTGCCTGTCCGTCTGTCTCTATCCGTCTGTCAGTAGTGGTGGTGGTGGAACTAATAATAAATTTGCTAAATAAGAACCAATTTTTTATTAAATGTTTTCGCGTAAAGTTGCGTTGCTATAAGGGGACTTGGCCCTGGGCAAAATGAGCCGAGTCGTATGAAGCGATTGCCAAAACGCGCAAAAGCGCTGACATCATCTCGGCGTACGCACCTCCGATTAGCGCGGTCGGCTACGCACGGTGCGAAAGAAGTTCAATGCGTACGGCTTGAAATGTAACATTGCCACCCATTATTATGAAACCACTGTTTCGCGTAGTTTCCTGGAATAATCGACGGCGTAAGTAGTTCTGTAACGTCGTAATTTTCCGCCGAATACATTTGATTGCTTCATTAGCTCTACTGTGTAACTGACAGCCCACGAGGCTTGCAGATTGTAAAGCTGCGATGAGTAGATGTCTCGTGGCAGGCTTGCACCGAGTGAATTGCGATAGGGCAACATCTAAATTGTCTTTATTTTCACCGAACGTCACAGCAAGCCACAAGAACAAGACTCTGCGGTGGAATAATAATCTCGCGCGACGGTCGTCAAAGTTGTAACCATTTCTATCGTATCCTGAAAAATCGAATTGCGTCGACCGTAACTGTACCCGTCGATGCCTACACTGGTGTGCGTACGTGTGTGCCCAGGTATTGCCGTTCCCGAGCCAGCTCGTGTATAACCGCGTGGGGAAGTGCGGGAGTCGAACCGTGGTGCAGCTGCTCAGGATCCTGTCGGCGAGGCAGGGCTTCAACCTCCTCACCTCTGAAATCCACAACAAGACTCGCCTCGGACGCATGGAGCAGGTGAGCCCTGGTCCCCCTGAGCTCGGTTGTCATGCCCCATCCTCATGCCATCGTTGTGCCATTGTCATGCCGCTCCATTGTTGTGCCATTGTCATGCCGCTCCATTGTCATGCCACTCCATTGTCGTGCCGCTCCATTGTTGTGCCATTGTCATGCCGCTCCATTGTCATGTCACTCCATTGTTGTGCCATTGTCATGCCGCTCCATTGTCTGCCACTCCATTGTTGTGCCATTGTCATGCCCCTCCATTGTCGTGCCATTCTATTGTTGTGCCATTGTCATGCCGCTCCATTGTCGTGCCGCTCCATTGTCGTGCCACTCCATTGTTGTGCCATTGTAATGCCGCTCCATTGTTGTGCCATTGTCATGCCGCTCCATTGTCGTGCCGCTCCATTGTCATGCCCCTCCATTGTCATGCCGCTTTATTGTCGTGCCCCTTCATCGTTGTGCCGCGCCAACGTTGTGCCGTGGCCAAACGCAGGCCTCTCGAGCTGCGACGGGGATTTTCTTGCGCATGTGCAGCGTTTGAAAGTGGCAGGTGCCATGTTTCCTTTGCTGCAGAATAAAAAAATTTACTTCAGCAAAATTCATGTTCCAAGAGGTCACGGGGTTTGGCTCAGGGGTCAGAGAACTGAGCTGGCATCGCTGGATTGCTGGGTTGGAATCCCGACAGCCGCCTGCGGTTATGGCAGACTCTCCCAAGTGTAGCGGGTTGATGGCGTCATCCCAGTGAGAGTCACCAATGAGTGTGCAAAAATAAAAACTCGTAACATAAAATTTTTGGTTCGGCACTTAATTTCACTTAATCCCTTCTCCCGAGAAATTCAAATGTCAGTTTTGACTGCCGTGCGACCAATGCTGCTGGTGGTGGCAGGGTGACTGTGAAAGTGCCGCCCCTGTACTGTGCGGGCGGGCGTTTACAGGGACCTCGGCGGAGGTTGTAGCGCTGCGATCGTTCCGTCTCAATGTCATGTTCTAACGTGTGAAGGTGTTAGACCACTCTGACAGATATTCGATTGTGCTCGCCGTCCCTGGCATGACGCTGATAGCACAATCGGAAGAAGAAAAAAAGGCAGACAAACGTGTTTGCAAAGTTTACAAAAAGAAAATCTTTGATCAGTGCCGGGGTGTTTGCTTAGCAGGTCACCGCGACTGGGTCTGTGTTGCGACGGCACCTTTGCCCCCAATCTTACAGTGTGTGCACACGCGCACGCGCGTCTACCGTGGGTTACACACCTGAAAAACAGTCTTACGGAGTGCTGCCGTTACGCACGTGTCACTCGCCACTCGGCTGCAAGGCTGCCGAGGCGCTTTGTCTGGCGACGCACATTCTGGGAAAAAGCCGGGGCGGCAGGTTGTCGTTGGGACGTGGCCCCCGGCAGGTAGCGGCAGGAACGGGCTGCTCGACGCGTCGCTTCGAGCCGCGCCGCGTGTCCTTTCGAGCACGACATCCGACGTGTTCGAGACGCCGCTGTGGCTAGGAGATGTTAACTACCTCGCCTGGTGTGCAAGGAGGCCGTCGGTTCGATCCCGACCCTTGGCGCCTGCTGAATATTTGGTTTTGGTTCCTCTGCCTGGTCAAAAGCGGATCGTTTCACTTCGCCCATGTTCGCATTCCCCTCCCACGTTCCACCGGACCGACCCCCCTCGTCCACCCCCCCCCCCTTTAATTTACCCCATGGATTTATCCTGAGCCCTCCGTCCTGCACACGTCCCTCCAAGGCTCGCACACGCGCACACATTTTCATATCGGCGCTCATTTCCCCCACGGGAAAAAAAACAATCTCCCCAGCCCTCAAAACGTCTCCTGCTCACCGCGTGAGCTTCACAAACACACACATACACACACGTACACACACCTACACACACGTATACACATATGTACGTACGCATGCACACAGGCATGCGCGCCCGCCCGCCCACCAGCCGTACACCTTTGCAGAGCGGGATTGTGGGTGATTGACATCGCCGCGCTGCGCCCATGCATCCGAGATGAACGCCATGCGCAGGAAATGCGATGCAGCCGCAGTGGCGTAATTATGAGCATGCTGGACCAGCGATTCCGACGTCGCCGGTTCGATTCCATCTCTTGGTGCGGCAGTTGAAACGATTCTCGCCCGCTTCTGTCCACCCGGTAGTACAAATAGGTAGACCACGGTTAGTTGATGGGCAGGGTCGCGTGTGGCGGGGTAAAGTGTGGGTGCTCCCAGCTCCTCCAAGATGGCTGGTCAGTGTGGAAGAGTAGGCCAACAATACCCTCTTAGAGGGGCTCTTGTGAGTGGAGGCCCTTCCGCCAGCAGTCGCGTGAGCAGGCAATTGCAGGGCTGCACCTTAACATTTGGTCAAGCGTGGGAGAGCAGGCAAAAATGACCGTCCAGAGGGTATATTTGGCCTGGTCTTTCACACTCTCGTACCTCGGATTAGCACGGTTGGCTTGCCTACGTTGCGAAAGAAGTTCAACATGCATACATACACACTGTCCAGATGCCGATAGATGAACTGTGATCGACCCATTTATCAGAATCCGAATATTGATTGAGACACGTGTGAGCAGATGTCCGGTAAGGGCGGGTCAGCAATTTGCAACAAACAGTACTGCCGAGTGGACATCAACTCGAGTCCAGTTGTGGTCCTTCCGCCAGGCGTGGAGTGAGAAGGAAATAGCGGGGCTTGAATCTCTGCCTTTACCTCTTTTATCTTTCTCAACGTTAGCACCACGGAAAGCGGCGAGCGTTTTTTCACATGGGTTTATTGTATGGTAGTAGGGTATTTGTAGTTCTTTAGAAACTCCTTTTTTGTTTTCCACATAATGCACTAGCTTGATACGTGGTGGTTTGGCTGCTGCAGTTCTTTATTATTAAAATTTCCCTCCCTTTATTACTGCTAATCCTACATAATACACTACTAGCATAATATGACTTTGAGACCCCCCACCGCCTACACATTCCGCAAGGAGTGACTAACCCCATATCTGCATTTGTCATCAATATGCTAAATGCCTCGGTTGATATGTAAACTCCTTTGTCAAGGCGCTCTCCTCCTCCCACCCAGCTTAAAATACGCTGCCAAGCTAAGCAGTGTTCATTCAGATGCTGTCTTTCCGATAGCTCTGTTTCTTCACCTGAGGACGGCTGCTTGTGTTGTGGCCGAAACGTCGTGAGAAATTTATCTTAATATGTTTTATTTGTATTATTATTTTCTTTCCCTTCTACGTGACTTTACCGAAAGAACCAAGAATATGAATCCTTGCAGTCACGAAAGCTTTAAATCGACATTTATTTAGCCTACCTTTTTCTTTTTGCCAGGTAAGGCCCACTGAGCTATGTAGCTCTTTTTTCAGAAGCAACCTGGCCACAAATAATAGCTCAACGAAGTGTCTGTCTCACGTGGAAATTGATAGCAGCCAAAAATTCTCCAAACGCATGGAAGGAAAAACTGGAGGGCCCGGAGAAAAAAACCCACGCGACCACGGGGAGAGAAACATGCAAACTCCACACATACAGCAGGCATCAGGGTCTGGATTGAACCCACCACCACCTCTTGTATACCAGGCGAGGTAGTTAACATCTCGCCACCGTTTCCCATTCCGAGACGATTTCCAATTGCTGCAGGATGGGTGGGTGTCCCGTTCCACGCTGAATCTTGGAACGCGCAAGCGGCACGGGCGTCAATTTTGTTTAGAGATGCTTAGCGCCGTTGTTTGTTGTAGTACAGAGTTAGACTGATGGCCTTAATAGTTGTCTTGTGGTTGTTGTTGTTGTTGTTTGACTATGATCACTGTTACATTGCTTATGGCTTTATTTTGGTGATTTCGAAAACGTTTTTTGGTTTGGCCATGTTTGTTTGTTGTAGTACGGAGTTAGAATGATGGCTTTAATCTAAGTTGTCTCTTGTGGTTGTTGTTGTTGTTTGACTTGCATCCCACTGGGATTTTTGCACACAGCGTTGGTGTACGGTATTTTTTCTGCAATATTTTGCTGTCTTTTCTTGGATTTTCTGTTTGCACTTAGTCACATAGTCACTTTAAGATGTTTTTTTGTTCGTGTTTTTGTTTTTTGTTTGTTGTGGTTGCACTCGATTCAAGAGCCGAATGGCTCACAGGGCTATACCTAATACATGAACTTGAACTTGTTTTCAAAGACGTTGTCACTCACCGCAGAGAACCGTAGCGACACGACCGCCGCACTCTACGGTAGCTGGCGCCAAACTGTGCCGCACGCGCCGCCCGCCCCCCCCCCCCCCCCCCCCCGGCTGTTCCGCTCGGCACGCGTCTTTCGCGCCGCACACTCGAGGTCGACCGGCCCCACGCCGGCGCAGCCCCCACGCCGGCAGCGGGCGACGCGGAGTCGCGGTGTCCACCGTCAAGCCGCGTCGCCGCGCTCGCGGCAATATATCAAAACCGCCTGCGGTGTCGGGGTGAGCCGCTGCGTTGGATGTGTTTGTACAAAAGGGTCCCTGCCAAAATTACGCGTGGAAAATAACTCTGCACCCCCCACCCCACCCCCTCCCCCTCCCCCCCTCTGGCTGCTTGGGTAGGATTGCTGCTTTAAAAAAAAACAAATGTCCATGTTGTTTGGACAAATATATTTATGTTGCAAGCAGTAAAGCACTCTCGCCTGTGTCCGCATGCCTGGGTGCGCGCGGTTAACCTGGATTCGTTCTTTCTTTTTACAATTTCTCTAGCCGCCATAGTCGCTGTGTCTCCTACGTGTGTGTGTGTAAGGTGGTAATGGGAAAGGTGGCAGCCCTGCAATTGCTTGCTCACGCCACTGCTTGCAGAAGGACCTCTGGAGGGAGACTCTAGCCCAGTGTTTTTCACTCATGTTCAGAGGGGGGGTGGGCCCACTTTCGCCGAGAAGACATCACCAGTGTGAGTGAGAGCCGCCACACATTTGAACCCATTGGGGGTTTGACAGCAGCACGACGGTGATGATGACGATGGGGGTGGTGCTGTCACTCTTTGTGTGTTGTCAGGAGGCCGCACGTCATGGGCCGCACTA